AAGGTTATAATTTGGTACTAGGCTGGCACAAATATGTATGGTATGACGAAGGCAAAATACCAAAAAATTTTACACAACACACCGTTAGAGGAGCGCTAATGGAAGTTTGGAGGGAAGTAAAAATGAGATATCATGTAAAAATACCCAGATGGGTAGCACCAATAGAAGTGTTAACAATGCCGTCATTGATGGAGAAAAGTAGGAAAATATCGTATGGAGATCTGTTAGATGTGAAACATAATCTAAAATCTGATGAGAAATTAGAAAACCAAAAAGTGAAGCTAACCTGGTGGGACAAAACTCAATTAATATCTAGATATAACATAGATTTTAAAAAAGGGCTTTTACAAGGAAAATAATGAACTGGACAAAATCTGGCTGTCCTCCAGCGACAAACTTATACAAAAAATATATAAATTATTGATGGATGATTATATGATAGGCGAATGGTTAAAAATACAATGGTCACATGGTCAAAAGATTTACAACAGATGCTAGAAGCAGAACAATGGACAAAAGTATGGAAATCAATAAAATTAATGTGTGCAATTCCTTATAAAGAGAACATTTATAAGATGTTTTACAGGTGGCACTGGACACCAGAGAAATTAGCAAAATGCTACGGAAATTCTAACAGGAATTGCTGGAAATGTAAAAAAAACGTCGGCACATATATGCATATGTAGTGGAGGTGTAAGAAAGTACAAAAATATTGGGAAAAAGTATACAGAATGTTAAAGGAAATTACGGGAATACAAATACCATTTGAACCACAGATTGCTTTATTAAATATAGTTTCAGATTCGTTCAGTAATACAGACAAATACCTAATTATATACTTTTTTACTGCAGCAAGAATGTTATTAGCTAAGGCATGGAAGGAAGAGAAAATACCTTCAAAAAAGATATAATTGATAAGATGTTGTCAGTAATGGAAATGGATAGATTAAATTTAAGAATACAAAGGGAAAACAAAGAAATATTTGAAAAGCGATGGAAAAAGTTTTATGCATGGCTAGACAATGTACATAAATAAGACTCACAAGTATAATAAATGTAAATCGATGTTATCATGAAATATGAAAATAATAAATAAACAGTTAAAAAAAGAAAGAAAGAAAGAAATGGGTTTAGGTTGGAGTAACTCTGCATTTGGTTGCACTTTTAGATACCCAACTCAGCCATGAAGCTCAGTGGGTAACACTGGGTCAGTGACTATCAGTCTGATCTGCCTCACAAGACTGTTGTGAGGATAAAATGGGATACTTCCATACACATTGCTTTGATCTCTTTAGAATAAATAAGGGCAGAATACAGATTTTGATTAATAACACAATGTCTTTCAAAAGCATATGGAACTGTATCTACTGGTAACCAAAAGAGTTGCGATCACTGTGTTTGTATATCTTGTTTTAAATCCGAGACAAAAGTGACAAATGGCAAGAATCTTCATAAGAACCTTCATACAATTCACATGGCTTCCCAAAAGTATCCATGTCACGGCAAGCAAGCCATGTGTTAGTGGTCGTAGTGCAGAGTAAATGGCATATAAGATTATTGATAATGTAATAACCAGTGTCTTCAGATTTGGGCAGAAAATGCTGAAATCATGCTATATATTATTCGTTTTAGTAAAGAAACTTAATTATATGTTCATATATAACAGGACTGCAAACTTTTAATACTTTAGGATTGAGTTGCCTGATGGCAGTCTTATGGACTGTTATTCCAATTTGATGGTGTGCTAATCGCCTCCCCAAGCTCTGGGAAGAGCGACCGCCATCGCCAATCCATAGACCGGAAGTCCGACCATGAATATTTCCATTATAAGCACATAAGAGCCCAGTTAGATCCCAATGTAGATCTATCTAATTCAGCATCCCATTTCCAATGGTGGTCAGCCAGATGCCTCTGGAAAGCCTGTAAGTAGGGCATGAAAGCAATTCTTCCTTGTGTTTGTCTGCAGGGCTAGAGTTCCATTTAGCTATCAGCTATTTTTAGATCTGCAATTTGTCTAACCTTTTTACATGAAGATATACCCTGCTGGGCTTACCCAAAGTGAAAGGATTAAAGGTGCTCGTGGCCCCATAGTTCTAAGGAGCTGTGCTTCAGTTGGCTCATGGGGCAAAGAGACTTTTCATACGTGATCTGAGAAGTACAGGGCTGTGCACGCATCCCAGTTGTTTTAGGGCTTTGGCAGAGAGAGAAGCTCTTTACTCCCCCATATGGACATGGCTCAAGCACACGCAAGAGACTGGCGGGAAGGCCCTCTTCCCTATCTGTAATCAAACTCAAGTACAAGCTTTGAATCTAGCAAGGACAACAGCAACCTTCTCTGCCAGGTGAAGAGCCCCTTTCCCATGGCATCAGGACCCCCTGGAATTGCTTCCCGCTCCAACTTTATCCTGCCCTCCCCCCAAGGGGTTCAGGTGAGGCACACATTCTCAGCCTAGCTGTGAGGATAAAATGGAGGAGAGGAGAACAACATAAGCCCCTTTTGGGCACCAATGGGGGAGAAAAGCAGGATACACCTAAAGTAAATAAATAAGATGCTCAATGTACGACAAACCAGGCAGAGAGAGAGAGAGATGTCCAAGATCACACAGCGAGCCCCAAAGTCAAGGAAGGATTCAAACCCACATCTCCCCACATCTCTTTTAAAAACTTATCTCAGTTAGTAACCATAAGTCTATAACCTGTGGCAGAAACCCAGTTATGCATTACTGAAAACAGTGCTTCCTTCTGAACCCATTGCCAATCAGTTTCACAGAGAATATGCCAAGTCTTAGCATTGCAGAAGAGGGAGAAAAATCTGTCTCCAGATCATGCATAACTGTATAACAATACTTTCTCTAGCACACGTGCACCCTTTAGACTTTCCTCAGAGGGGAAGTGCTCCAACCCCTTGATAATTTTGGTTGCTCTTCATAAAAATTTGGTTCATGGAGGAAGGCGCCAGCAGCAGGCTGTTTGAGATTACCAATGCTTTTGCTTACTGAGAGCACATCAATTAAATCAGTGGAGTGAGGAATATTAATGGAATCATCATTACCAGAAGTTTGTTGAAGAACACAAAGTGAACATGTAAAAAGAAACATGCTTTCTCTACCTTAATCTTCAATACCGAAAGAGAAGATTGCCCACACCAAAAACCTTGCTCACTAACTACGGATGCAGGAAGAGAGAGCAGTAAATGAAAGAATACATGCTCGAGGTGCTGTTTATTTCGCGTGCTCCCAGAACTTCTCCACTTTTTAAAAAAGTGTCAGGGTTCAACCTAGGTTGGGGGTAACCCTGGGGCATTGTAACTAACAAACAGTTTCTGCTAGGAAAAAGAGCCAGATTCTAGTAGTAGCATAGAGACCAAGAAGATTTCCAGGGTATGAGCTTTCAGAAGTCAAAGCCAATGAGAGTTAGCTGGGATCCTTTAAAGACTAGGTGGGTTCTCACCAGGTCCAGCAAGGTACTTCCCACATGCTTAGGTCATATGCTGCTCCCATCCCTTACAGATGTAAACTGCTTCAGCCATACCTCTGTAACTTCCTACTGTAGCTGCTTATTTCACTTTGTCCTGCACGGAGTTTTACATTTTGCCTTTCTAACAGCTGGAGTGGCTCAGTCTGAGTGAATTTGGATTGGATCTTGTTTTGAACTCTCCTCTCTTTCCAACAGCCCCCTTTCAGTAGTGTGTTATCAATCAGCCTAAACGATTTTGACACTCAGAAGCATCTGAAGACGTGACCTCCGATTCTCTAAAGCTTGCATGGCAACAGACTTTGTTCTGACAGGACTGGCTATCAGTTTTACTGAGCATACCCCAAAGAGCATTACAAAATAATGGCGTCTTAAAGCGCTAACCCTAACGCTAGTTTTATTCTGAAGTAAGCGCATTCTCTCAGTAGTACTGATGATCTGGCATTCGTTGGGCCTAACCTGTCCAGTGTCATAGATGCAACGAACATGAAATTGAGTAAACTTCAGAGGACGGCGGAAGACAGGAAGGCCTGGAGGGAGCTGTGCGCCTGAACAACAACAACAACCACCTATCCAGAACTCCTTGCTCCGTAAACACATTCGCAGTCCACGAAGATGTAATAAAAACAGAAGAGGCCGACGCAAGCCTGGGGGACCTGATCACCGAGCCCCGTTTCCTTTTTCTCGCGAGGCGATCACAAAGCGCCTGCCTGCCCTGCCTACCTCCCGGGAAACACCGGAGGGGGTCTGCTGGCACACGCAAACCCCTCCCCTCCTGAGACCGGTCACGGCAGGGGAAGGAGGAGCGGGAGACGACGGGAAGAGACGCCCGGCTGGCTGGCTGGCTGGCTGACCCGGCCCCTGGCGGCACGGAGGCAGCCTGCAAGCCACTCGAAGGGCGG